GGGGGGGGGGGGAAAAGAGAGTAGGGCCAAATAAATTTAAAAAATCAGAAATTAAGGAGAAGTGACAACTGATCCCTCCCCCGAAAAAACAAAGGATTATTAAAAAATACAATGAACAATTATATGCCAACAAACTGGATACGCTGGAAGGAATGGATAAGTTCTTAGAAATATAAAATCTTCCATGACTGAATCAAGAGAAACAGAAAATCTGAACAAACCAATAACTACTAATGAAATCAAACAAGTAATTTAAAAAATCCCATTTCAACAAACAAAAGACCTGGGCCAAATGACTTCACAGGCAAACTTGACCTAAGTTTCAAAAAATTAGTATCTATCTGCCTCAAAGTATTCCAAAAAATTGAAAAAGAGGGTAGGCTCCCATACTCTATTTTACCAGGTGAGCACTACCCTGACACCAAAACCAGACAAGACATTACCAAAAAAAGATAATTATAGATAAAGATAATATCCCTGATAAACAAAGATGCAAAAATCCTCAACAAAATATTAGCAATCCAAATTTAGCAACACATTAAAAAGATCAGACACCAGGGCTACCTGTTCAGGACCCCTCTCGCTGCGGCAGGAGCTTTTGTTTCTCCTTCAATAAACTTTTGCTTTCACTTAAAAAATAATAATAAAAATTAAAAAAAATAAATAAAAAGATCATACACCATGATCAAGTAGGATTTATTCCTGGGAAGCAAGGCTGGTTCAATATCCACAAAACAATCAATGTGATAACCCACATAAACAAAGTAAAGAATAAAAATCACGTGATCAACACTCTTAGAACACTGTACACATAGAGTATTTGGAAACATAGATTTTTAACACAAACTACATGTAATAAATGAAAATCCAAAATATGTATTAAAAAATTTAAATAAAAAATTAAAAATAAATTAAAAAGTCACATGATCATACCAATAGATGCAATAAAATCATGTGACAAATCCAACATCCATTTATGATTAAAAACTCTCAGCAAAGTGGAGATACAGGGGACATACCTCAACATAATAAAGGCCACATATGACAAATCTAGAGCCAACATCATACTCAACAAAGACAAACTGAAGCTTTTTCTTTAAGAGCAGGAACAAGACAAGGATGTCCCTTTCACCACTCTTATTCAACATTGTACTGGCAGTCCTGGCCACAGCGACCAGACAAGAGAAGAAATAAAAGAATCTAAATTGAAAAGGAAGAGGTAAAATTGCCATTATTTGCAGATGACATCATACTATATAGACAACCCTAGAAATTCCACTAAAATAACCCTATTAGAACTGATAAATGAATCCAATAAAGTAGCAGGATATAAAATTAACATTCAGAAGTCACCTGCAATTTTATACACCAATAACAAACTATCAGAAAGAGGAATTAAGAAAACAATCAATCCTAGCCCTGGCCAGGTGGCTCAGTTGGTTGGAGCACTGTTCTGAACACCAAAAGGTTGCAGGTTCGAATCCCAGTCATGGCATATATCTAGGTTGCAGGTTCAATCCCCAGTCAGGGAGCATACAGGAGGCAACCAACTGATGCTTCTCTCTCACATCAATGTTTCTCTCTCTCAAAATCAATAAACATATCCTTGGGTGAGGATTAAAAAAGGAGAAAATAATCCATTTACAGCTGCATCAAAAAGAATAAAATACTTTGGAATAAATTTAACCAAGGAAGTAAAAAAACAAACTGTACTCAGAAAATTATAAGACACTGAAGAAATTAAAGAATATACAAATAAATGAAAGGATACACCATGTGCAAGGATAAGAAGAATTAACATTGTTACAATGTCTATATACCTAAAGCAATCCACAGATTCAATGTAATCCCAATCAAAATATCAATCACATTTTTCACCGAACTAGAACAAATGATCCTAAAATTTATATAGAACCACAAAAGACCCCAAATAGCCAATTCAATATTGAAAAAGAAGAACAAAGTTGGAGATATCATGCTACCTGATATCAAACTATACAACAAGGCTATAAAAATCAAAACAGCAATGGCAGTGGCATAACAACAGACATATAAATCAACGGAACAAAACAGAGTCCAGAAATAACCCGCACCTACTTGGTCAGTCACTCTGTGACAAAGGAGGCAAGAGCATACGATAGGGTGAAGGCAGCCTCCTCAGTAAACGGTGCTGGGAACACTGTCATAACTATGGATGGTGGCAGATGGGTACCAGGCTTCCTGGGGTGAGCACTTCACAAGGTATGTAAATATCTAATCACTTAAGCTATACACCTAAAACTAGAATTATATGCCAACTGCAGTTGAAAAATAAATTTTAAAAAACATTATAGAAAATAAATTCATTTTCATTTTTTTCTTTATTTTTATTGTTGACACTATTACAGATGTCCCCATTCCCCCTCACCTGTCTCCCTCCACCTAGCCCCCACCCCATTTCCCTTTGGTTATCACCACACTGTCGTCTGTGTCTATGTCTTATGTATATATATTCTTTGGCTAATTCCTTCACCTTCTTTCATCCAGGTGGCCCCCTCACTCCTCCCCTCTGACAGATGTCAGTCTGTTCCATGTATCCATGGCTCTGTTTCCATTTTGTCACTTTATTTTGTTCATTCAATTCCACATATAAGTGAGATGATATGGTATTTGTCTTTCTCTGACTGGCTTATTTCGCTCAGCATAATAATCTCCAGGTCCATCCATGCTGCTCAAAGGGTAAGGCTTCCTTCTTTTTACGGCTGCGTAGTATTCCACTATGTAAATACACCACAGCTTTTTTTTAATCTCCTCATCTGCTCATGGGCACTTGGACTGTTTCTAGATCTTGGGTACTGTAAACAACACTAAAATAGAGAGACAACTCTTCACAAATGCTTTGGTTCTGGCCTCAAGTACTAATAATTCCTCCTAGCTATCCACTTAGTTTACCATGAAACCATACTTTCTGCTGCCAAATCTGAATTCCCTAAAATTTCAAACCACCACAAAAAAAAAAAAAAGACCTCTGATTTCACAGGGAAAATGTGATAAAATTAGTTATATGCATTCCATCTTACACTTTCTTCTACAAGAATTTTCCCAAAACCAAGGAATTAGAGCTGGGGTATTCTCTTATCAGTAACAATGGCTCATCACAGCACTGAATTTGGAAAGTTGGAGGGAAGAGGTGTGTTAATTATTTTGACATTCCTCTTAGATCATCCCAGAATTGGGAATCACTAGTTTAGAGTTAAATTCATTTTATTTTATTATTTTTAATCCTCACCCGAGGATATGTTTTCACTGATTTTTAGAGAGAGGAGAAAGGGGGGGGG